TTTGGGTCATCGCCGACCAATTCTGCCCACACAGTCTATATCCATAATTTTGCCGGTGAAACCTCATCCCAGACATGGTTGAACACTGTAGTTGGTACCCCTTGATTGCCGTTTTAGGCGCCGACAGCGGTAGACTGACTCGCACTCTCAAAACTTCCCGTCATAGCGACATCCGAGTCAATCCTCCTCCCGTCAGTCGAGACATCGATCTTCTGCTCCTTCGCGTGTCTCACAAACAAGCGGAAATCAACCTTGGGTCCATCGTGCCAATTGCCTTTGGCGTCAAGTTCTCTGGCCGCGGGCATGTTCTCGCCACTGACAATGCACAACACTGTCATACCCCGTCTGTACTTCAACCCACTCAGTAACTTGGGTGTGATGAGGAAGTATTGACTGCCGCCGTCGTCCGCCGCGATATCGACCATTCGACCATGCACCATGCGTTCGTTTCGGGGGTCCATGCCCTGGTTGATCTCGTCGACCACTCGGAAGGGAGCTCGACTTAGACTCTGCAGAGCCATGAGGTAGAAGATGGTACTGACTGCTCTTTCACCACCCGACTGCCGGTGACTGTCTAGGAGACTCAGTGGCTCTTGCTCCCGGAACTTGACGCTGATGTGGATGGCCCAGTTAGCAAAGTCCAACCCGTTCTCTATTCCGCCGTTCTCCTCAGTGCAATCAGCGGGATTTTCAGAGGATGCCTTGTGCACCGTAACCTGCCCAGCACATCCGATGCGTGCAAAGGAATCGGAGAAGGCGTCGTTGATCTTGGACACCACTTCCTCCAGTCGAGGTTCCCATTTGGCCCGGATGGTGCCAATGGCGTGTCTAAACTCCTCCCGGCGTCGATCGCCCTCCTGAACTTTGCTCTGTAACCTCTCAATAGTTTTGGCTCGTTCCTCAAATTCAGCGATGATACCAGCATTACCACCCTCGGTCAGCTCCAACTTAGCCTTCTCGGCGTCGATCTCAGCGTCCAGGTTTTCTTCGGTTTGGACCGTTTGGACTATATGATCCATGAGCTCAATCAGGCTGCTGTCGCCTTCCTCTGCAGCCTTTTCGCTTTCTGCCCTCAGTTTGAAGGCGACATCGCGAATGTCCTTGGCTCGCTTGCGCTCCTCATTGAAGAATTGCTCTGCAGTATTTCGCTCGGCCTCCTTCTCTTCTATGCTACGGAGGATATGATCGTTGTGTGTTTTCAACACCTCAAAATCCGACGTTGCCTCCAGGTGGAAGATCTCTGCTTCAAGCAAGCGCGCCGTCTTCGACTTGATGTCTCTCGAGGCATCGACAAAGTCGAGGACGGCTTCCGTTTTGTCCAGGAGAGCGGCATCATGGCGGTCGCTGAGCTCATTCAACCGAGCCCTGACCCCGGTCAGCGCTTCGCTGAGAATGCGGATCTTGTCTTCGTAGCTTTGGATCTTGGGATCCAAGGCATTCCATTCTGCGAGGGCCTGTTGTTTCGCGCCCTTTTCTCGCTGCTTGGCTTCAATCTCTTCGTGAACGAGTCTTTGATTCTCCTCGAGTTGCGCGATTTCTTTGTCGATGTCTTCTGATTCAGACTTGAACATTTCATGCTCCCCTTTCACTTCATTCATCTGTCGTTGCAAAGCGGCTTTTCTTCCCATGTCCACTGGCTGATTGGTCCACATTCTGGCTTGACGTATGTCGTGCACTCTGGCCGACGTGCCTGCTGCACCATACTCCGCGCGTCGTATGAAATGATACGTCTTTCTCCCAGCAGAATAGCTTTGTATAGGTGTCTTTGCCACATCATCATGCTGCTGTTGAGTAAGCTCCCTGGAACTGATTGCACACCTGTGGAGAGATCTTTCAAAGCAGAGTTGGGCCAGCACGGTTGGCGGGCCCTGCAAATGATCCAAAGCCCAGCTGCTCAACCCGAACCGCTCCATTTCCTGCCCGGTCAAGGGTGGACGGAATTGCTCCAGGCTATCAGTGGCGCACTCACGGAGGCTCACGTCGTGGAGCTTGAGACCTTGAAACAACTGGCGTTGAAGAAGAGTGAAATCGGCTTTGTTCTGGACTGTGATGAACTTGAAGTCGTTAACTTGCAGGAAAGACTCGACCACATCGGCCATGCGTGAATCCCTAAGCGAACATTCCACGATTGGAGGTCCGTACACATGAGCAGTGAACTCATCGCGGTGGTCCTGAATCCACCTCCAAGCTTTCAAAGTGTCCCGTGACAAGTTCTCCAGTTTACCTTCTTGTTGGCCAACTTGCGTCTCAAGTCCTGCGAGCTGACCCTTCAGGACTCTGAATTGTTTGACCGATCTGTCAGCTCGATCTCCCAGTTCTGTCCTCCGTGACTCGAGGTCACTTTTCCGATCATCCAATGCTCGCAGACGCGTCCTCAGCTCCTGGATCTCGCTATTCATGGCTTGAGAGTCGAATGCTTCTGGAGCCTCTGCTTTCTTTCGCCTCAGATCCTGTAGCTTCATCTGTTCTCGTTGTAACTTTGCCCTATTTTCGGGAATGCTCTTCTTCTCTGCCTGGATTTCGTTGTTCAAGTCGTCGATGACACCTTGTTTCTCCTCGACGACCCTTGCTTTGCGCTCATAATCTTTGAAACTTGCGCTTAACTCCTTCTCACATGCAGCGTTGAATGCTCGTGCCTGGATTTCATAGTCTTTCTTGGCGTCAAGGCTTTGGAGGACAGGTGCCGCCGCCTTTCTGAGACGTTTGAGCTCTTCCGCTAGGTCCCCCATCCTATTTTTCGCGGCAATGAAGTTTGCTTTGGCTTTGTGGTAGTGGACTAACGGTCGGAATTTCTCTAAGCTCGCAAGTCTCTTTTTGACGACAGCTCTTTCCCTCATGCGTTCCACTTCTGCCTGTTGCATTGCTTGTCTGTTCTCCAGGTTTTGCAGTTGTTCTCGGGCATCTCTGTCATCCGTCATGCCATCGCTCTGGGAGCTGCGGAGCTTCTTCAAGTCCTCGTGCCATTTGATCATTTCTGGACCGGCCACGGCTCGCTGCGTGCTGGTGAGCAGCTCCGTAGGACTCATTTGAGCAAACTCGACGACCTTGTCCTGGGGGAGAAATTGGCAGAGATTGTCGATCTGGATGTTGAACGCGTTCGCCAACTGTTTGACAGCAGCACCTGAAGATGCATTTCCATTCAAAAAAAATTTGGACTTGTTGCCTTCTCTTTGTATCACCCTTTTGATCACCGGATTCTTGTTGAGCTTGGTCGTCCGCTGCAGTTCAATCTCGATGATGGCCTCGCGGGAGCCGTGCTTGACGAATTCTGCAGGTTCTTTCGCGCGTCCGAGATACTAGCATGCATAAGTGAAATGGTCAGAGGCAGTACTCAACCCGCAACTCACATGAGGCGGCCACCCAAGGCCTAGACAGATGGCGCAAACAAGTGTGCTTTTCCCGGTACCATTCGGCCCAATAACCATGTTCAAATTCGGTCCAGGAAAGAATTCAGCGGAGGTATAGGTGACAAAATTCGTCAGTTTGACCCGGACAATGGCTCCAGGCTGGTGACCTTTCGCGCGGCTGGCATTGTCATTGCTACTACCATGGCCCTCAAGATGTGGTTTGCGTATGGCCGAGGGGGTGGTCAGTTGCCGTATGGGTGAGCCGTCATCGTCGACAGAGGTGGCATGTCGTCGTCTACGTTTGCTGTCATTAGTGGCGGTGGACGAAGGGGTACCCGGCCTCGACTCATCCTCGTCAGAGTCGGGAGGTCTCGACCGCCGGGTAGATCGAGGAGCCATGGGATTCTGTGTCTCGCTTCGAATCAATACGTCGGAGGGTGTGGAGGTGGGGGGGGGATACCACAGGAAATGTGAAGGCTAAGAGTCGACAGGATCTCGACGGACGCGGTTGCGCGAGGGCATGACGCGACACATGTGGCTGTTCGAACATGCCAAGAAGTGGGAACAAAGCTAGTACACTAGTTCCTCGGCTAAGTTACCCGCAACGTCATTTCCCTCCTGGTACCCCTCCTTTATCAATTACGAGCTACCTGCAACCTAATGGACTACCAAGACTCAGCATGCTGCTTGGTTTAGCATCGGTCATCCTTCTGAGAGAGAGAGAGAGTCTGAGACATGTCGGACAACAAAGATGGCGAACAATTGGACCCTCTGCTAGCGAAATGCAACCAGAGCCATTTCACCTGGTATCTTTTCTTATCTCCATTGCCTAGACAGAGGTACATGATGCTCCTGACGATGTGACAGATCTGCGCGAGAACGAAGGCATACAGCCGAAGTATGGCACTCTGTTGCCTGCTTACAGTTATACATACTGCAGATGCAACTTGCATTATGTTCAATCGGCAAAGCCCGCATTTCATATCATTGTGCAGTCGGACTGGCGTGGAGTTGATCTAGTCTTGTTCCAGCCGAATACTGACTGGCCCTCTGATTGGATACCGTCCCGATTAGGCATGGGGAGGAGAAGGGGGCGGGGGATTCCCTCTCCGCATGCCATGAGCAAAGCAGGACCAGGTAATTGGATCCCCATCTGTGCATCTCGGCTGCTGTCGATACCCCAAGCCTACAAAGTAAAGGCAGGGTTTACTCGGTATATCATTGGTATTGGAGCATTTACTCCCAAAAAACTGGGGCAAGTCTCGGTTTCCGCTATCAGTCGATACCATAAGCAACAAAAAGGTAAGTGACCACGAGGCAGGCCGACGCTTATCTATCTCAAGACACAGTAACAGCGTTTCTCGGCTGCGCTGCTCAGAACCGTGGGCGGAGCAATTGGATTCATCATGAAAGTAATCCTCGGATCCTTACTTGTGCCATTCCCCCAGGTAACAACAGGTGATTGATTGTCGTTTTCTTGGAACTTGTTATAAGATGCCGGGATTCAGGTCTTGTGCTTCTGTCGGGTCGCGAAACACCCAGAATATCTTCATTGTCTTGGAAAATCACTGAGCCGCTTTCTGAACCTTTTTTTTTTTCTTTGGCACCTATTCCAAGGGAGAATCTCGAGTTTCGACTTAGTCCCCTCCCACCATGCCCATCTATCTGTCCATGCAGCGGGTGCGCTTCTCGAGCCCGGACGCGTACGAGAAATTCAAAGTCCTCTTCGCCGACACGCGTCGTCACCTGATGACGCTGCCCGGCTTCCTCCACCTGACCTGGTGGGAGCACCCGGACGACCGGAGCTGGTACAACGAGTGCAGCTTCTGGACGAGCCGTGGCGCCCTGTACGACTGGCACAAGAACGTCTACCACAAGTACTGTAAGACGTGGGCCGCCAACGGCGCTATCATGGAGGACATCATCACGAACTTCGAGCTGGTCGGCACCCGCCTCCTCCGCATCTGCCCCGTCTGCAACCTGGCCCAGGACAAGAAGTACGACCTGGCCCAGGAGCAGGCCGTGCTCCGCGAACAGTGTCCTCAGTGCGGCTTCCATTTCCCCGTGCTCGAGGAGACGCCGTCCAGCTTTGCGGTCTTCAAGGACGCCATAGTCCCCACAGAGGACGGAGCGGGCAAGAAGGATGCAGAGGCCAGTTGCCCCCTGGCAAAATGAGGCTTGGAGGTGGCCACAGATCAGATCCGATGCACCTTTGATTGTAATGTACGAGGTGATATGACGGTCAGGGTGATACTTGCGAAACAACTTCACTACTAGGCTGCTGAGACGAGAGAGACTACGCCTTCGGGCTCGCAGCGGAAGGTTCTCGAGTTGCGTTACCGGCGTTTCACCATGTTAATAATGTTGATATATGTTGCAAAATCAAGTCCGATCAGGGCGAAGCTGTTCCCTGGGGAGATCACGATATCGTGTGAATGGGTTGGATACGAGTTCAGGTGATATGCTGCGGAGCCATTCTCACGGAGCATCAGGAATGTCTCTAGCAGAGAACATACGATACTAGCGAGTAGCAATTTCTTCATGCCTTCATAATTCAGGGCCGTCTCACATTATGCAGAGTACATTTTCAATTTGATAAGATACTGACTGGCCAGACTCCGACCGTCTTATCCACCAAAACATTGTGCTAGTCCAGATCCTCAAGTTCCTAAGCACCATTCGTGTCGTGTTATCAAGCATAACTCCTGTCATCTGGCGAACATCGAACATGTGTTTACCACATAAAGATAGAGGGGTACCGCCTCTTCCATATAACCGGCCCAACCATCACATGCCTTGATCAATGTACTTAAAACACGTTGAGACTTGCCTGTGACACTGCCAAAGAATTGTACTTTCCCAGGGATATACTTTTGTTTGCCTCCCAATTCCTCAAACCCATAATGTTGACGGCCTTCTACCGTCGGAATCATCAGTAGAAGTTTCCGCGCGGGACCTAGTGATTCAAGTTAGAAGGGAGTGACACCAACACTTAGAAGTCGCATCTTACCGCGAGAAATATAGCAGTCGTGATCGCTCCAATGACAAACGCAGTGATGAGAGCTTGGACGAAGATGGTGTCTTGGATCTGACGCAGCGCAGGCTCCTGGATCCAGACTTCGCGGTCAAAGATCTTGCGTATGATGTTGCGCTTCTCATATTTGGCTACCCAAGGCTCGTCTTCATAGCTATTGGAAGAGCCCAAGCTATCAAACGAGGTTTTTTTCTCTGGAGAGGCGTCATCTTCATCACCGAAAAGCTCCCATGGCCGAAGATGTCGGTGATGCATGCCATGCAGAACCTGTTCCATTAATGGGTGCCTTGAGAGAGAAGATATTTTGGTAGGACTTACAACGCACATGCCCTTCCAAGCGGCAAACAGGGTCGCAACGCCGATAAAGAGACCGAGAAAGACCAGTGCCCGCCAGCCTCGATTGGCTGAACTCAGTGTGATGACAATCCCGTAGACGATGCCGCAAACGATTCCGGCCACACCTAGGAATCTTGCAAAGGCCTGTCTCGGTTTGTTGCCGTTACAGATCGTCCAGCGGATGAAGTTGGGATGAGCTTGATGACGAAGAGTCCATTCGACCGTAGCAATGACATCGCGAAATGCTGAAGGGTGAGTAGTCACGGACAGGGCCTTCACCAGGACAGCTTTCTCCTTGGCTGACAGGTTCAGCAATCTTGCCCCACCATCGGCTAGATAGATGGCGATGATGCGTGAGATTTCCTCCCGAAAAGGTTGGATGGTGACTGATTTCACATTAGTGCAACGAAACACACAAGGACCTCTGTCAACATACATGGCTGAAGAGTTCCCGCTTCTTCAAATGCGATCTCGGCTCTTTTCCCGTGCTCAGTGGTTCCTGTTCTGAGAGTCGTAGCGTCCTCACTGTAGCCGAGACTCGAGGGGACCAGGCTGCCTTGGTCTGTGGCGGAGACTGAAGAGGTTCTGGGAGGCGTGTTGAATGGATTAGGAGCAGTGTCCGGGGGAGCGAGTTTCGCATGGGGATCGAAGTCTGTCCCTTTCAACACTGAAGCAGCAGCACTTGTCATTTTCTTAGGAAGTTTCTCTTTTTCAGCCTGCGTCTTCTCCGCCAATGCTTGGTCTGCAGTCCACTCAGGGGCAAGTCTTTTCTCGTGGTCGGGAAGCTCGTTGAAGCGCTTGCAATAGTCGTGATACCACAGGTAGAACTGCAGGTTCTCGGCGTCGTACTCAATGTAACGCAGGAAGTCCATGAATTCACGCGTGGTCACAGGCTGCAGCATGAATAGATTAGCCGAGAGGCTATACTGGCAAGTTCAGTAAGCTTCAGCTCTTGACTTACAGGACAAGTTCCGCCGCTGACGATCCTGTCAAAGGAGAGGGCATCTGGAATGCCATAGGGGCAGCTGGAGCCGGAATTGATGGACTCGACTCGGCCGTCCGACTCGGACCCAAGCGAATCGCGGGAGGAGGTAACATAGGCCGGACGACGGTATGATAGTGAGAGGACCATGTTGGTTGAGGGCGGTGATATCTCTGATGACACGCAACAACGTACACGTCTTCGGGGACAGCTGTTCCAGGTACAATCTGAGGAGGTAGCACAGGATCGACTGTGACCAAGGGTCAATCGCACGTGGGAGGACAGGAAGTATCAGCTGGTCAAGATATGCTTGACAGCTTTGCCAGAGGCGTTCAAGGCTTTCAAGAAGCAATGAACGGGTGTTTTGCGGGGAAAACTGAACGTGCCAATGGGAGAAAGAAGGTAAAGCTAGAGTAAATGATCTGGAGGGAAGGTAGCCAGAACCAAAGTCGATGTCGTGCTCTGCAAAGTCCAAAGGCAAATAAGTCTCTGGTCGTGCCTGCCGCAACAGAGAGAGTTCACTGAGACACGCGGGCAATGAGGCAGGTTTATGTTCTACGTGTCATACCTGCTGAGAGGAGATGCATTTGAGGAGTTCATGGTGGCTGCTCAGGTCCTGACAAGGTTCTGGCGAATGGGTATCAGGGAGGCACAGCGCCATGGCTGGCAAAGACATGCATGCTGTGTGTCCAAGGGAAACTCGACCCATCGAGAGGCAACCTGGTCCCCTGGTCCTAGTCAGGGTCCTTCGAAAGTAGCGACGGGTAGAAGCAGCAAGGGGGAAAGAAGTCTCTCTCTTCCTTCCGAAGTGGGCTGCATGAGAGAAGGTTGGGTGTGTGGGTGCCGTTGAAGGCAAGGAGGTTTCCCTGAGGCGTGTTGTTTGTCTGTTTCTTAGTCCACGGTCTACCTGTCATGCATTTACAAAGTGCCATGGCTGGCAAAGTTCGGGATCGGTGAAGGCGAGGGGCATCTGAGTCGATGACAGCGAGCAATGATGCCAATTGGTGGTAGGAGGGAATCAGGCAACAGATCGGCGCGATCGCATTGGCATCGAGGCTCCGCTCGCTAAGCTAGCGCCCACTAGTCTACGCCATGTCAGGTGCGGTAGCCAACGATGTCGCATTTTCGGGACATCTGAGAAATCTTAACGAGCTCCACCGCGTCATGCCCTCGTGTCTCAATGCTCTTCCACTACATTTTCACTTTTCTCACACTTGGTCTCTGTCTTCAGCAAGGGTCGGAGGTCCGTGGCCACTGTCAAGGCCTCAAGGACGTTGTACTGGTGCTGTTCACCACCAAACCGCCGAGTATTGCTCCCGATGGCAGTCTCCAAGCTCAATCGTCTTCAACATGGCGTCGGGAGAGCAGATGTCAAATGTGGAGTGTCAACTCGGCAAAAGCTACGAGTAGATGATTATTCTGTCTCCTCAAGAAAAAACTCTGGGAAGGTGCGAGAGAGCTTGGGCCACTGTTCCCCGCCACTCGTATTCATCCAATGGTCCAATGGTCCAGCCGTGGTACTCTGGACTCTGGAACCCTGGTCCAGGTGTCAATAGGCAAGGAACTGGCAAGGTGCCAAGGTCCATGATTCTCCTCAAATCATGAACCACTTGTTGCTCCTCCCATCCCGTGGATGGTCAAAGCGCCAGGAGTAACTAAAATCAAAATCAACTTTTTGTACCTGAATCCCCTGCCTCAGCCGTGCGAATGATTGGGATTTGGCCATTTCAGGTTGAACTCAAAAGATTGCATGTGCCAGAACATCGTGATTTTCGCAGTCACACCTGAAAACGCCCACGCCGGTAGCCTGAAATGGATACCGATATTCGCACATGGCCGTTTCCAGCCATGGTGGTTCTTGATCAAGTGGAGACTGAGATATGCGAGTGGGACGAAACTCTGTCTTTCTCCCGAGCATGGCGGCGATGGTAGCTCGCCAGCTTTGCGACTGTACGAGTACGTTGTCTTGGTCGTCCGTCAAAGTTGGTACACCACCTGGAGAGCATTGAACTGTTGCCTATCTAGGCCCTTGTTGGAGGGTTCTGGACTAATTTCCGTCAGCGCCTCTCAAGCCTGTCTGCTGTCAATGAATCCCCTCAGCTTGGCCAGACTTCTCCCTGTGTAACCTGTCAAAAGAGGCTGGCATCTTGGAGTTCCCTTTCCGGTATAGCTAACACGAAGAGGTTACACCTGTCACACTGTCGACTGTCGTTGACCAAGAAGTGCCGCCTCATTCCTCCAAGCTTCCTCATCCCAATGCCGGGTAGCTAGCCTAGCCGAACAAAACTTGGGCTTCACACAACTCCTTTGCAGCTCGTATCGCGCCTCAAACAAACGGTGCTGGAGCAATGGCATACTTTCTCTGGTGCAATCAATCAACGTGGAAATGTCCATGTCTACTCTGGATTGTGGTCTAGTGTAGCGAGCTGAACGCCACACACACTGGCAAGTCACTTGAGCTGCTATTTTGATTGACCTACGAGACAAGGGGAGCCTCTTCGCCTATCAAGGAATCCATCCAGGCTAGTATTCCCACCTTCCCGTGTGTCTGGGGTCATTTTGAGAATAGCGGAATCACGAATGCCAATGAGCCCGCTCGCTCGGTTACAGGAAGTCCTTCCGGTTCGCTAATTTTTGTCCAAACAGTGCCATTCCGGCCATCTCTTCCATTCAAGGGTCAAGGCGACAACCGTCTTGGAAGATTTAGCCAGGCACTATCAGGCACTTTTCAGAGGAACTTTCGGTGGGGATCCGTTTCCTGAATTCCCATGTGGAACGGTTACAAATTGTCGACAGGTTGCCACCGCGGCCATGGCAATCAAACTCACGCTAAAGCCTTGCCGTTTACAGCGATGACCTCCGCCAAACCCCAGACAGACCTTCACAGACTCAGCCCGTGTCCACACTCAGGGGGGAGTTTATCTGTAAAAAAACATGGCCTAAATCTCGACCTCTATCAGGTTTAGTGGCAAACAAAGCTGCTTGATGTCAAGTCCCTTCCCCTTGAGCCATTTCCATTTGCCATCTTCAATCTAGTGTGGGTTGAGGGCTGAGATCACATCCACACCACGCTCCACCTTTTTCCACAGTCATGTACATTTGTATCTGCCCTTCGGAGTGAGCACATCTGCTGGCGTGTGGCTTGACTAGTCCTATCCCAAAATGCTCGTCTCCGGCTATTCGAACACGACAAGGTGACCATACACCACCAGATCGCCGAGGACAGGGTCGACACGGGAGCCACGAGTTGGTAACAGCTTCCTTCCGCGTGGAGCGCATCACTGGTCTAAACCCACGTGCCTGTTCCTGTACCTCGCAGCAGTGGTTCATCCCTTGCAGCCAAGGCCCAACTGGCTTTTACTTACATACCTGTTTCGAAACATGCGGACCTATAGGATATGCAAGGGGCACGGCTTTGACCGTCGAGTTTACAGAGTACTTCACCCGAATTTCTAATGGGAGAACGAAAGGACGGAAAGCTTCTTATGCTCAACTTCTAAAACACTGACCGGCGTGTCTAATGCAAGCTTCCCATGTCGACGCTGCTTCATCGCAAGGGCTATGCCAGAGTTTCTTTTGGAGCTTTTCGAATGGCTCATGCTTTGTTCCCAAAGATGGCAGGACAAACGACTCATTGTTTCGTGCGCTGGAGGGTGTGCAAATTGAGTTATTCCAGTTGTCTGCTATATTTGGAGTCTCTTTGTGATCATTGATCATAGGGTGGTAATTTTTACTCAGATTGCAATGACAAAGACAGCCAGACCTGTACTAATGGTAGCCTCTAGGTTATCAATGGGCACTTCCCATTCACCGGTTGAACATGGACGCCCATCCGAACAGCAAAATCGACCCTTTTTCGTTTCCAGCACCACCTTCGTGCGCGTCTCTTCACCCGATCAAGGTTTCCATTCTTGCCTCATACCACGATGTTTTTCTTGTGGCGCAGAGACGTTTCGACGTGCCCCGAATATCAGAATTATTACCACTGTTCCGCTGTTCCATACGTCGGCTGTTGTACACACGACCCTTGCAGGACTGGTGTTTGTGCAGAAACCCCTCCTGATTCCAACCCAGGCTCATGTGGAACAGGTATCACTGTCACTGTAACCCAAACAATCCTTCAAGGCGCTGCTACCAGTACCGTCAATACTCCGACTAGCCCCTTGGTTATGGCAACAGGTGAGGGGGATGGGACATCTGCCGACCAAAACAGTCCCATTCCCAGTGCAATTGGTGCTGCCTCCGCGCCGCCCAGTACACAAGAATCCTCCACACCTTTCCCTTTTATTCCAATATCAGCCTCCAATACCACCTTGACAAGCGTAGCACCAGGTACCACCATGACCGTGCACCTCGTCCCTGCCACTCCCAGCTCTAGTGTCGATGCCTTCGCCAGCGCTACTTCTAGCGAGTGCCCAAAACCAACGGCATCTTCAACAACAGAATCTACGCGCACGCCTCCGGCAACGATCGCTGGAAGTGTCATTGGCTCCATGGCAGGACTGGCCCTGATAGTCACACTTCTCATTTGGTGTTGCAGAAGGAAACGAAAAATAAAACTAACCTTCAAGCGGAAAGTGCAAAAGACTGACCAGGAAGAGCAGTTGAACGAGCTACAGTCTGTCAGAGAAGCAAGAGATCAAGCTCTGCGACGACTCGAGAATAATGACAAGGCGCTTCCAAGCCCGCGTTCATTTGACTTTGGCCTTCCTCCAATACCAAAGAACTCGAGTCCGGTAATGCCGCAGCAGTGGCCATGATTCGACAGGCAAGGAGGTAAGTCCCAGACGTCAAGATGTCAAGCAAGACAGTTTGTATAGGTTTTGAATCAGTATACCTTGTACATAGCAAAGATTGTGCTTGCATTTCCTTCCGGTCTTCATAAAGCATTGACTATACTAGGTCCCTCTCTTTCGCTTTGAGAGGCATTCCTGCCGGGGGTATCCCAGGCAAGAGCCACCAGACTGACGCATCCGACAAAGTGCTTTGGCAGCCACGCAGCTTACATTTATGTCCTCGTCTGAATCAGCTCCTTCAAGTCTTCCTTCTGTCCTTCTTGGTGAGTAGGATGCGCTGCCGTGCTACTTGCCTCCTGTCTGGGTCCTGTCTGGGGCAGCACAAACGCACAGAATGTCCCGTTGGATACATTTTTCTGCTTTGTGGTTGGGCGAGAGCACCGAGAGGTGCTACATCGCCAGAGAATACTCATGACTAGACCGTGATGGCTCCCTTGTCCTGGACTCTCATGTTCATCTCGAAACATTCTAACCTCTCAATACCACTGCTCGGTGTGTTCTCTGTATCAGAGCTGAAGAACCATTAACTTCCTAGCTCAATGGGTGTGAAGGTGAAGGTGGACAGATCACGCTGAACAACGACTGGAGGATCTGGGATAATAGTGTATTTTGTGGTCCAAACCAAGAAGTTGGGCGCTCGGAACTATGTACGGTTAATTAGAGAGCAGAATAGGACCGCTTTCCTAACGTCCCTGTTTACTTTTGATGCCACATCTTGTCATGGTTTACAGCAGCCGGGAAGTCTGTACCTCTCACAGTGACAGTGGATAATCCCAAAGCCGCCAAACCCAACAGGGGAAAATCCCTTGGCATCAATGACCTTGTTCCCACCCCTTTGTTTGCACTTCAAAACTGACTGTTGACCATCTGTGTTGAGCAGGAGAAGCTATTTGGCTCTTGATGCCTTTGATGCAAGAGGAACGTGCAGCTTGTAGGTGCCCACTTCTCCTTTTACCTCCATCATGTTGCTCAAAGAGCCTATACTATACGAGTGCTTGAAGATCTCCCTCTCTCTCTCCCAGGAATGGAGGGTGCAGGCCGGGCCCTCAGACCTCCGACCTCATGGCCGATGCACAGTGCCCTTCTGCTGATAGATGTCCTCTGCTCTGTCTCAGCAGACCCGTAAGTCATGTCCACGATGGGCTCGTGATCCCAACTGCTGCCTTACAAAATCAACACTCGGGTAATGGCGCCGGTACTCGACGGAGGAAACTGTAAGTGGAAGTGGGCCATTCATATGTAATCGGTTTCAGCATTCTGGCACACCTCCCGCACCAGTGATGATATGGACGATGATAAACAGCCGGATGAGTTTTGAAGAAGATACCGGCGATCGCAGAAAGCAACGGAATTACTTCTCCCAAATAATCCATTCGTCCATACCCTCCATTCCAAGCACTGGAGCCTGATATGGAAAATTTACCTCTCAAGTCGGTTCCAGACACTTTTGAACCACCCAGTAATCTACCTCATGTAGCTGCCATGATGCGGTTGGACGCGGTCAAGCACCAGCGAAAGAATGTTGGGTTGGGAAAACGACAAGTGCTATGACAATGACGAAGCTTGGTGTCAGTGCGGACGAGGGAATTGGAAAGGAGGTACAGGCTTCTCTATTGAGTGCGAGGACGCAGAGTGCCGTTACAAGTGGTGGCACTGGGAATGCCTGACGTCACAAGAGCGAGAGTATGCAACAACATGGGGTACATCTGCTTCTTCATTGACGTTCCCTATCGCCACTGATGCCTGACTTTTCATACATACGTGGATGTGTGCCGGATGCGGGAGTTCTAGATGCCTCCAATCCCTCAAACATTTTCCTCAAACTTTGGATCGACGGTGCGACAACTCTTGACGGAATCGCCAACAAACCGTGGGTACCTGACGACATCAACCACGCTGTCGACACGGAGATCCTTGATGGGGACAACGATTTCCCATATGCAATCTACATGGCAGCCAGGTTGCGGCTCAAAGCTCGAAAAGAGTCCAAGTCCTTCAGAGACTCCTGCAACACAACTAATCTACCGCCAACGAGTGCCACAGCGACAGAGGACGTAAAGAAGCTGCTTCTGCAGTTTGTGCACTTTGCGCACGTCCTGGGCATCCAGCCCCTGATGAAGGCGGTCATGCACGCTCTATGCAGCGCGGTCTATCGCAGTCCCGAGGGACGCTGACGCCAGCATCGGCACGACCGCCCGTTTGCTCGACCAGGTCACCTTCGCCGGCAACCCTGACAGCGAGGACAACAAGACAGCGAGGACAACAAGACAGCGAGGACAACAAGACAGCGAGGACAACAAGACAGCGAGGACAACAAGACAGCGAGGACAACGAAGACAATCAGGACAAAAGCCTACCTTGCCTATCTTCGATCCAAGTTCGAGGCACCTCTTGAACTTGTCTCCCGCCAACCCGTCATCTAGGCCTGCTTGTTACAGTTGACTCCTTTTTCTCTTTCCGTGCCATCCCTTCTCTTTCTTTGACGCCTACCACGCAATAATGGTTGAATGAATGATCGAATGAATTGCTCCTGATATCTCCGCGAGCGAACAGAGAGTCCTATGTGTGTATGTGTGTGTGTGCCATAATATTCCAAGGATTCAGATCCTCGATTGAGGCAGTCAGTCAGTCAGTCAGTCAGTAACGAAAAGGATGATGGCGTGGATACCGGATACCGGGCACTGGATACTAGACACGGGTGCAGATACAGATAGATACTGGAGACGAAGAGAAAAGTACCGGTCGTGCCGGTAGACAGAGCCCATACACAGCACATAAATGTACCATGACTTGGGGATTTGCGGACTTGGGGACTTGCGGACTTGCGGACTGAAAATGGAGGATATCATCTTTGGATTTGATTTGTGTGAGGGGGGAGGGAGACAAAAGTAGCATGAGATTTTGGTTTCCTGATCCCATCCATCATTTTCCTGCCGAGCTCAAATTTCTGTTCAAGGCATTCCCAAAGCACGAAACAAGCACGAGCAAGATTTCCAGTGTCTCTCAAGTCGCACGTTCCCCTTTCCCCGCCACCGCCAGATATTCGGCCTGATACAGGATCACCTTGCCATTGCCCACCCCACCAAGCCCTTGGTCCATGACCAGTTGTCCCCCATCCGCTCTCGGCTATCGATTCTCTCTTTCTCTCTGGCCCAACCCTTCCTCTCTCTCTTCGACCGGGAGATTGTTGTTTTGATCGCATAAACCCTTGTTGCTAGTACAAAGATCCATGGTATCCCTCCTTTTGTGATTTCCCAAAAAAGACTGTTGAAGACAAGCGAGAAGAAAACCACCTAGTCCACGAAAGCGAAAGGAGCAGGGGCCATTCACCAGGACTCGCATCGGCCCCGCGCCTCGATGTACCAGAAGAAAGCCGCCAACTTGGAGAATGTTTCACAGGTGAGCCCCTCACTCGTCCGGGGGCTCTGAAAAGAGGCCGATCCTCACGCGATGGAATTGCGGCAATTTCGGTATGACGACAGCCATGAGGGCCATAAAGTTGATGGTAAAGTACGTGAAGTCGTAGTGGGTATAGTGCGTACTTAACAGAAACAGGACGATAGGCACAGTGAGAAGGAACTTTTTGGCGGGTGTGTATTGGTCGCCGTTGTCAATCTGCTCCCACATATTCAGGTTGTCGTATGCTCCGGCATTGAATTCAAAAGGCACGCCTCGCACCCAATGAAACATCAGATACGATCCCGCCATGTATGTTATGTTTGTGAGTGTCCACGATATCTCTTGGGTAACGCCAGGGATGATGTCAAAGAGGATCTTGAGGCCGATTATTAGAACGGGGTGTATTGTCCAGGCTCCTGCGCATAATGTTAGATTAGTCCCTTGCTCTCTTGTTTCAATATCAGGCTGTGGCTCTCATCATCATCACGGCGCACCTTTTGCATTAACCCACTGCGAGTTGAGATTTGGGAGGGCAGACTGGTCACTGATCTGTTCTAAGGACTCGGGAGGTTCTTGATATATGATGCTGCTCGACCGCCTCCTCCGACCACTCTTCGTCGTACTCATGGCTGGATCGTAGGACGACACGGGAGGGGCCAGTCTGGCATTGGCTTCGAAGGAGATGGAGCGGTGGAGGGTTGTTTGGGAGGTCATCGAAAAATGTAGGTGTTGTTGCCAACGCGAGGACGTTATCTTGTGAAGTGCAAATGAGGAGCTATGGAGAAACTATCGCAAGGCGTCAACTGTGAGAAGGCCTGCATGTGGTCAGCAACGCGAAGTGAGAGGTGGCGTAAGGTTCGTCCGTACCTGAGGGAGCCTGGGGGGGGGGTGGTCGCGGGATCAGTCGCGTTCGAAGGGTGAAGCTCGATAGTAGACCGGAGTCTGTGGTCATGAAGTAGAATAAATGTCAGAAGATATTCAATTTAAGTTGACAGGCTGCTAACAGTGTGCGCGCAGAGTATATAAAATCCGGAGACACAAAGACAGAAGGGGTATGTAGTGAGACGCGCACGGTGTTCGGGGTCGACCGACGAAGTCTCAGATTTGGATATAAATGGGTGAGGTGGCTCGGCTGGCGGATGGGGGAATTGGTGATGGCGGTAATAATTTACACAGTTGGAAGGGGGATCTAAGTCAAGAAAGAGATCGGGGTTTAGTTAAAGACGGGCACCAGATTCCACCAGCCAGAGGGGGACAAAGGGTTAACTAATGCAACAGGCAGCCGACAAACTAGTGAGCGAGTGTGAGTCCCAGGTACAGACAAGTACAAGTACATCAGTCCTCCCGTGGTGCCTTCGTAGGTATCTAGGTGTCTAGGCACCTTAACTATGTAGGTCACAGCGCACACGACCCCCCGTTGGTGCTCTAATTTGTGGGCGGCAGGTGGAACTCTTGCTTGTTTCCTCCCTTCAACGTCAGACTTCTTGGCAGACCTTGGATCAATCTGGCTTGGTGCCCTCAACACTTTGTTACTCGTAGCATAATAACACGGAGAAGCTTCGTTTGTCTTGATTACTGTACCACATTTCTCCAGATTATGCTGGAAAATGACGTCTTCATATCTCTAGCTATTTCCTCCGGCGATCTTGTACTGAGACGCGCACCAAATGTTTTTTTAACGCTAGTAATAGAATGACAAGCTGATCAAAAGACAACAGACTTTATTTTCGCTGCCCTTACAGCGGCCCCCGGAGGTATCGGAGCTTAATTCTCAGTGCCTACAGCGTCTATCAAGATTGAGAATGTAGACTACGCTACCGCCTATTAGCTCTAACTTATGGCTAGGAGATAGGTATAAGTGCCTACAAGCTCAGAAAATCTTCTGTTATAGTAACATCTGTCATTTAAATTAGTGTAAACAGTACTTTTGGTGCGCGCCCTCGTACTGCATATGACTGCGTCTTTATCGCTCTTTCACGGCCGTTACCTCGTCTTTAGACTGATCTGGTCCTCGAGAACCGGCCGGCACGACAAGGATGGCAGCACTGATGGCCGAGATCCGAACGGCGGACAAGAGAGAACGAGATATTCGATGATACACCACTTGGGCAAAATTCCGCCTGTGGTAAACTCCGAGAACTGTTGTGTGCTTTCATACAAAGGAACGTCTGGTGCGGCCTTCACATTGCTTTCTGATGCCCCGACAAAAGAGGACGGCCTTCAACGTCATCTTAGACGACTAAGTCCTTGATAATGCCTATATCATACCCGAGAGACATAAAGATGGTTTCCTTGGTGCTCTCTTCTTGCGAGACGTCGCTTCGAAAGCCCTCAGCCTCTTCTTCCACGAGGTGCACCTTGCCTCCCTCTCTTTGGTGCCCCCAGTATATCTCGCAACAGGAATCGGAGCAACCCTCCAGCGTATGCATGTTCTTTCGGAAAGTACTTTCCAGTCCCGGTTGTGTAATCTTGCAATTGCTTCAAGTTTGCAAACACCCTCACTGGGACTCCTGTTCGCGGAGCGTCCACAAGGTCCACAAGATTGACATGCGTCTGTCGAATCCGCTACTCGTGGTCAACGACTGCTATCAATACGAACAAGTGGAGCGGTATCATGGCTCACCTTTCGACAGTCGTTCAGGCCAACAGGCATTGGGACGATATTTAGAACATGACACAAACTCTGCCAGGCATTCAGGTCATCCCCGTCCGTGCCATAGAGGTCGTTGAACTGCTGAACCATTGCTGACTTGAAGTTCTCCATGGCTTCCTCCTTCTCATCCTGCCTCTTATTCCAACCAAATTCATCGCACATGCGATAAAATTCGCGCCAAATTTCTGCAGACTCATCGTAGTCGAAGTCGGGATATTCGGCAAAGAAATCACTAATATGGTCATTTCGTTGCGGGCTTTGAACGAAAGACTGCTGAACACTGGACTTAGCAAGGGACGAGAAGAAGGGAGACGGCCGAGAAAAGGCACTGGCGCAAAGTTGAGAATGCAGCAACTTACCTCAGAACCATTCTCCTCTGGCTCAACATGGGCGAACTTGCACGTCGATCCAAAGCGGCATGTCCCAGATTCAAGATAGCTGAAACAGACTCCACCACTCTTGCTCCTCATTGTGAAGTCCGAATAGAAAGCCAGATAGGAAAACTAAGAGGTCTCGTGAGCACAAGACGCAGATAACAGCGAGCGAGAAGGGACAATGGGCAAGACAAGAGAAGCACAGCAACATGTATACCGGCCATGTTCATGTGCTTCGTGGCCGGGTCATCATGCTCAAAGCACACCCCTGCCTTGACAGTCCTTTGCGACCTGAACCACATCAGTGAGGCAACCTCAGCCGCTTTCTTGCTTTAGGTACGAGCAACGTTATTCGCTGGGCACAATACGAACACGCTGCCTATGTGCTAGTTAGCATTTGGCTACCCGTGGAATGGTGGGCAAGTACCCTACGAATCCGAGGCTGGCGGGAGGAGACGACCCAATCTCCCTACACCGTGTCCTGCGAGCACGCGTAACCCCGCTTTTGGGAGCCTATTCCAACGCACCTGGATCAATGTGATCGAGCTGGCCCCGACCGAGCAGTTTGCCAGAAGACCAGAATATGAGAGGTTGTCTCTGCGAATGGCCGGCATATCCGTAGCTCGCGGATCATCGCCTGGTGCCAGCTAGAATGAAGTTGCTGGCCAGGGTGTGGCTCTGCCCCCACGTTCATTAGACAGCCTCATTGAATGCTTCTGTGCATGGTTCAATCGCTCAGATGTCCCCGCATTAGACCCATTTTCACATGGGCAGAGGAGTGGTCTCTTTGTCTTGTTTGCCTCTTTCTGCCTTTTCATTTCTCAGTCAGGTGAGCATCTGTCTGGCTTGTACAGAAAAAACATGATCATAGCGTGGTTTAAGTCCACGCCATCTGGGCCTCCATTTCAATCATGTGTCAGTAGAGGTGGATGGAATTGATCAACACTGATTTATAACGAGGCCACAATCGCTTTGTGAGAATATTATTTCAGGCATGCGGAGCCTGATGGATTGATCTACAAGATTGATTGTGCTTGCCATCAATGTGGTCACCCAGCCAGATCTGACATGAGGTTAATAGTCCAACTAACAAAGCCTTGGGTGGTACGTCTATGCAAGAGCACAGTCTCGCCGCCATGAGAACTTTGGGCCATCAAGACGTACTTCCACTTCCGCTTCCACGACTTGCAAACTTGTCTACTAACCGTTTGTAGTAGGCAACTACCGGCCCGCTCCGGGGCTCTAGCCAAGTCTTGTCATTTGATGCAGAAAGCTCGTCATATGATTGGATGACTGCATTGGGATTCACGCGCCAAGAAACATCAAGTAGAGAAGCACATGAGGCACACACGGATGGGCTGCAATGTGAGCCTCACTGCGGCTGGCTAGGTTCAAACTTTGCCCTCTCTCAAGCCCGCTGCCGTGGACCTGCTCTTATTCGATGGGAAGAACCTCGCATACTCACCATCCTCCAGGGAGAGGAAGCCCCCTCTCGACAAATAGCAACGCTTCACGCCCTTAAGCGCTCACTTCTCCCCCAGTCTATCGAGACAGGGCTGAGAAGACCCATGTACGTAGCGCTGCGGCATGGGCGCTTAAAACAATGCTGAGTCCCCTGCTGGCAACGAGAATCTGCTCAGCTCACTTTGTCACCTGCACAGGAAAGATCGTGCCCTCTACTGTTGGCTCATCGCCCTTTCAACATCTCAAAATGGTCAACTCCCAGGATTTGCTGGATTGGTAAGTTCTCGGACTTGATTGACTGAGAAACAAGCTAAAACATCATAGGTATGATGGCCTCTACTCTCGTACCGTGGACCTCGTAGGTGACTACGCGGGCGACGAACTATTTATCATCGAAGGAGACTCATTGCTTCTCCATTCGTTTTCAGACGATAAACTCGACTTCTCGCCAGGCCTTCAACTGCTCCACGCGACATACATCGTGGAAAACTTCCTTCGGGCTCTCCTTCAGCGGAAATGCAAATTCAATCTCGTTTTCTTCAACAAACATGCGCACTTGTGCATTCCACGGAATACTCCAGCTCACCTGCGCTCCAGGTATCTCCTTGCTCGGGAGGCAATCATTCAACACTTCAAGTGCAATATTTCTCTCACTACCTCATCCTTGGAAGTCAAAGTATTCGACTCGTATTCTTCTCAAGACTTTGACAAGTATTTGGCATCAACAGGAGCATACTTCTTCATGTGCCATGACGGCTCTTTTCCATCATTGGATGTTCAAGACAAGTCGGAAGATGACGGTGACAACACACAAAACCAGGCTCTTTCGGAGTTGCAGCCAAACATTGACAAAGCTCGTATTTCAAAAGGAGACAAAGTGACTGCTCAACCAATGTCCCAAAAGACTCGATTTGACTACGCTCGGAAAGTGGCATTGCGCCGGATGATCCACTGGTTCATCGGTCACAGTTACAATATTGCTCTCGTCACCACAGTGGAGTTCCGGGACACGAAGGTAAGCTGACCCTGTCCTGCCCAGGGTCAAGTTCCAAGAACCATCTGACAATGGCATCAGGTCATGGCAATGATTGTCGAGGGCACCAGAATGCGAGTGAGCCAGCCGATACGGATGCAAGGCAACACATCTCAAGTATCTGCCGCCTCAGAGATGGAATCCCAAGCCGAATCCGAATCAAGGTCCCCGGACACAGACCGCGCAGACTATAGCGATTACCATGCAGTCGAGAGTAACGGTTGCAACGAAAAAAGTGAGAACCATGTACCGGACTCAATGCAGAATGGAAATCCAACCGAAGCGAATATCCACGTGCTGCTAGCAAAACCCCTCGGAGAGATACTGGCGATTCTAGAACGTACGAAGAAGCCGCCTCTATCACAACGGGACCTGTTGGTAGTCACAGCCCTGAGTCTCATGTTCAGATCCGGCAAAATTGGTACAGCTGCTGTACGAGAAACATGTGCAATGCTCCTACATACAATCGTGGTGCGGGAATGTCGTCTCTGCGATCGCGCTCTCGACAATACAAGCACGGGTACCAACTCGAGTTTCTTGACAGACTTTGTCGACATATCCCTCAACATTCTCGTGTCGGATGCTTGGCGAAGAAATGTCCTGCGTCAAACGCTACCGTGTGACCTTGCTGATATGCTTGATGGGCGGCTTTTCCTCAACATTGCGTCGTCACTTCAGTGGGCTCCCGGTCGAGCCACTCTCGGTCCTTCCATGTTTTCGTCATTCAGCCACCTTATGTCTCTTCTGAAAGACACTTGCGCCAGCAATGTGCAGATTGAGCTAGAGGCCTCGAGGCTCCCTGTTGTACAAGACGTTCGCTGCAACATAACAACCCAATCGACCCAGGGCACAAAGAGGGTCATACCAACAAACGGATGTGAGGTTAGGACCACAGTCCTCCCTTTCAATAACGCGGTATTCAATCCCCACCTAGCGCCCATACAACTTACCATCGACGTCTCCGCCAGGAACGAGAACACATCGCGAATCTTCAAGGAGCTCAGCCACTGGCATAACCATCGACAGCCCATCGACCAGAAAACCAGTCGCGCGATGACTGATTGGCAGAAGGCCCGTGCAAATCGACGGAACCAGTTTTTTATGAAGGAGACCAGGGACTACGCCGCGAGCCTGACCAATGCTATCGGGGGCGTCCTAGAGCCTGAAACTATTATTGTAGAGAAAACAACGGGCCGGCCGGCAAAGAGACATGGAGCCTCCAATATGGCAAGGCGTGAAAAAAAGACACCTCATGCTGAAAAGAGTCAGGGCTCTCGAGCCAATGTCAAAGAGCTCGCCAACGCAATTGTTTTGGAGAAGCGGAGCAAGGACACGGCCAAACTGGTGGAGGCGTGGAATGCCACGAGAATCGGACTGGTCAAAGAGTCAAACCTCACGTCCCGCTTCCTCAAGGCTAAGAACCATCTGAGCAGCCTGGCCGGAAACAAGCGAGAAGCGGTGGAGGCCGATGTGTCGGTATACATGCTCAGTATTCTGATTGAGATGTGGACATTGAGATGTGCCAACGAAGAACGAGCAAATGCGATGACCATCATGGGATTGATTTGGAACCAAATCCTCCAGATCAAAAAACTAGAGCACGGCATCACGATGAAGATGGCAGCATACGTGGCCAACACGATCCAGGCTCTTGGTTTGCCAGCCTTGGAGCCGCTTCAAGTCCAAGAAAAGAACAGCACTGGCTCTACAACCGTATTGTTCGAGCCTAAGAGAGACGCCGTGGGCATTCAACTATCTCCACTGGAATTCCAGCTCGTCCACGCCGGGCCGTTCTTTGACCGGGACATGGGCTCCGCGCCAGATCGTCGAGTCCATGATTTTGAGCCGGACAAGTGGCAGCGAGACGTGCTGGACCAGATCGATCGGAAGAGGAGTGTCTTTGTTGTCGCCCCGACCAGCGCCGGAAAGACATTCATTTCGTTTTATGCCATGAAGCAAATCCTCGAGGAGGACGATGACGGGGTGCTGGTCTACGTTGCGCCGACTAAAGCCCTTGTCAACCAGATCGCCGCAGAGGTCCAGGCCCGATTCTCCAAGACGTTCAAGTATCCCGCGAAGTCGGTCTGGGCCATACACACGCGCGACCACCGCGTCAACGACCCGACGGGGTGTCAGGTGTTGGTCACGGTGCCGCACATGCTGCAGATTATGCTTCTCGCCCCGACCAATGCGACGGGTTGGTCCTCCCGGGTCAAACGTATCATCTTCGACGAGATTCACTGTATCGGCCAGGCCGATGATGGAGTCATTTGGGAACAGTTATTGCTTCTCGCTCCGTGCCCCATCATCGCACTCTCGGCGACGGTCGGGAACCCGCAAGAATTCAGCAATTGGCTGAGCAAGACTCAGGAGACCAACGGGATCCAACTCGAGATGATAGAGCATCACCACCGTTACTCAGATCTCCGCAAGTATGTCTACAGTCCGCCCCAGAGGTTTCTCTTCAATGGCCTGTTTGTCCGTCCGCAACTCCCGAGTGTTGGAATTGACAACGCCCCCGGCGTGAGTTTCATGCATCCCATTGCAAGCTTGGTTGATCGTTCGAGGGGCATACCCGACGATCTAACTCTCGAACCGC